AAAATTAATGTTAGGAGTGTACTTCGCAAGGCCAAGAAGAAGAAGCATAATTCCAACTCCAAGTTACGGGCTCGATCTAAATTTATGGAAAATAATTTTGTGATGGGATCAAAACTTGGGCTAAATGCTTGGGATATGTATCTTGGAAGTTGCTTACAACAAGGTCTTTAGAAAGATATTGTGAATTGAATTAATAATCCCTTGACATGTATTGTTAATTTCCTATAGAGTTGTAATGGTTAAGGTACCTCTTGTACTCTAAATTTGTCTTTAATAAAATATTGATGTTTAGCAAAAAAAGAACATGTTGCACTGACAAAGAAAAAATGTTTAGTATTAGGAAGAATGTGGATCCCCTACAATTGTAAAAATGACAGCTAAGAGTGTAGTTTCAAATTTCATCATCCAAAATTACTTAACAATTTTTTTCTATTAATATTTTATTATAAGGTCTACTTACTCATCATGAAAAGTGAATTGAGTAACATGGCAATGCTATTAAAAGAAATGTGTTTGCTGTAATACCCGTAAACTTGAAAGGGTATTTTATACCCTCTTTAGATTAACGGTTATGATTCTTTTAATATTTTAAAGATGAAAGGGTATTAACGTCTTTTTTAACTATACTACTAACTCCGTTATCTATCCATATAAAATTAACAGTTATGATTGTTTCACAAAAGAGAGAGTACCAAACCCTCTCACTTACTCAGGGTGTCATGAATTTTGTAACACTCTCAATTTTATTACTCTTGGATAGGGAAAAAAAAAAGGAATTTGGACAAAGGATATTTCGCTCAAGCAAGATAAATCTCGCTTAAGCGACATAGGATTTCTTAAAATAGAACGTTCTGGAATCCCTCACTCAACCAAGAATGAGATAAAGTTAGCCCAACTGTCCTCTTGCCACGCGAGAAAGGGGTCTTGCTCAGGCTAGGAGCAGCTCTCCCAAGCGAGGAGTCACAGGGAAGATAGGTGCTCTCTGGACTCAATCTTGTTCAGGCGAGATTGGATCTCGCTCAGTTATTACCAAGTAAAGGGAATATTTTCTAGCTTTAGTTATATATATATATATATATATATCATATGATAAAAGTGTAATTTTGATATGAAGAAAGGTTTTGAGTTTAATTGAAATTAATGAAATCGGATTCTTAAAGAAAACTATATGTTAGAACAACATTAAGAAATTTTAAGACTAACTTACTTAGAATATATATATATATATATATATATATATATATATATATATATGTTAATTAATAAAAGACATAAAGTGTTGAACTTTAGGATAAAAGACCATATTAAGATTGTACGAGTTGGACTAAGTCCGAAGGTGTCTAACCTTTAGTATATTGTTTGATTGTATGTTGTGAGATTTGTGGTAATTTTTGTGTTAGATTAATATATTGTACTGATTATATGGTATGATATTGTATAATAACTTTCTATATTAGATTGACATGATATAATAAGTATAGATATGATTTGATAGATGAAGTGTATTCAAATTGAGTAAATTCACATGAATGATTGAAGTATTGATTGATATTGAAAGTATATGATGTATGATAGAGAAAGAATGAGATACATGATTATGATGCGTGGGTCAAAATAACTTGAAAAGGGTAATTACGATACATATTATAGCATATTGAAGAATATGTTATAATATCTATTGTGATCCATGAATTTATATAAATTATAACTCACGTATTATGACATGTTGATTGATAGAAAGAACATGGGTGTCGTAGTACATTGACGGGTGTGACTAAGACACGTGTATCGTGACATATGAATTGAGACGATATGATATATATATATATATATATATATATATATATATATATATATAATAACATGCATGTCAACATAGAAATGTATGTTTAATGAATGAAGTATTGTATGAGCTTTGACTGATAGTTGTATTATTGTATGTACTTGGATTGAATGAGTGTCAACATGAATGCTGCAATATTGATAGTGAATTAGAATAGAATATTAGACAATAACTTTAGTTGCTTTTATGATAATTCATAATTAAAGAGATTTAATGAGCGGAAAAATACTCACCCTTACTGAAGTGTTTCAAGTAATGAAAGAGAAGAAATGGGGGTGGATGATCTGTACTAGGGTTATACTTGTCAAAGATTGTGGAATAGAACTACTCAGATATAATAAATTTTAATATAATAGATATATAATTTTATTTATATATTTTCTTCATTGACAGTGAAATTTTTTTGTTGAGAGATTTTGTAAATTTGTAAAATTTTATTAATTTATATTTTCATATTGTATTATTTATTTAAACTTGTATTATTTATTACGAAATTTTTTATTTAATTTTTAATAATGTAAATATTTTAAAAAATTTATTTAAAAAAGAGAAGGATGTTACAGATTTTACCTAAAAGAAATTATAATTTTGGTTAATAAAAATTGTATCTATTTGATGCAAAGTAGTTATCCGTTCTATGTTTTATTGTTAATGCATCTTTTGACCATCAAATTTTTTTAATTATAATTTAAAATAACCAAAATTGAATCCTGAATTGCTACAAAATATAATAAAATACAGAAAAGTATTAACATAATAAAATTAGAGACCGCTTATATTCTTTGTAAGAAATCTATTAACAAAAAGGCATTTGAAAAGAAGCAAGATAGGCAATTATGAAAGTTCATGCTTTAAAATTAATTAAGAGATGTGTGTACATATACACAGTATATATTAAGGTTAGAAATATGGGTAACTTAAATCAAGGAAATTTCTTTTTATAAAAATGAAAAAAATTAGTTTTAAAGTAATAGTTAAGATTTGAGATGAAAAGAAAAAATTAATATAAAAATAAAAATTTAAAAGTGATTAAGTTAAGATTTGAGAAATTCAAATTTATAAATAAAAATATGGTGTAAAAACTCAATATAAAAGGAGAATTCAAAAACTAGTTAATAATTTGAGAATTTTTAAAAATAAAATACATGCTAAACATAGTCAAATTAATATATTATTAGTGCATTAACTTTTGTGTTTTTTTCAACTTCAACCAGTAACTTCTTTTTTTCGTTAAATTTAATTGATAGTGTTATTAACATTGTTAATGATATTGCTAACTTTGCTTATGTAGAATTACATGTGTAATGAGATAATATTATGTGATATATATTTTTTAAAATTGATCTGATTATCCTCATACAAATACACGAAAGAAGCACATATTGAAGGAAAAAAGATTTGCAAAGTTCATCATTGTACATAAACAAAATTCATAGAAAATTTTGTGAAATTATTAAAGAACATTCATTTAGGAATCACTGCTATAAAAAAAATATTTATTCAATATATTAAAATTTTATCATAAAAATAATATTAAATATAATTATATTATTAAATTAAACTTTTACATTTGTTTAATTTTATTAATTAAATTTATTGTACATCAATTATTAAGAAAGTTGCTATATTCTAACGTGATTGAACGACAATCACTTCTATTTTTAAAAGAAAAAATATGTTATTATTTAGTGACAATCATTATAAAGATCTTATTAATAAAAAATTATTAAAATCACACTAGAGTATCTTTTTTTTTTCTTCAATAACATCTGTTTATCTTTCGTAGAAAATAATCTGAGCTCACGATGATTATTAGAAGTAGTACTTTCTTTAAAAAATACTGAAATTAAAATTAATTTTAATAAAATGTAAAAAAGTATAAAGATGAAATTATATATTTTAAATTTTTTTATTAATTTATTATAAAAAAAATACGTTGTTTTAAATTTTTATTAATTAATTTTATATTTAAATTTTTAATTTATTTAATTTTACATCTTTCAAGTTTAAATAATTAAATTAAAAAAAATTTAATAATTAAAATCAATTTTAATAAAATTATATTTTAGAAACTTGTTTTAGAATCCTTTAATATTTTTTCAAAATTATATTTATTTACAAACATAAAATAACAAAATTATATAATTGTTATTTTATGATATTTATTCTTTTAGACAAAAGATATCTATTATTTTAAAATTCTCAATTATAAAAGATATTAATTAAAAATACATAATAAAATTCATATTTAATATTTTTATATAATTTTAAAATATTATACAATTTAATAAATTGATAATATTATATATTTTACTTTTAATAAAAAATTTAAATTACAGTAAATAGTATTCAAGATATATATATATATATATATATATATATATATATATAATAAAAATGATAACTTTAGCACATTTAAAATACCAGTTAAAGAATAAAAAATAAAAAATTTTATTAAAAGAATATTATTTATGTACTTTCATCTTTAATATTTTAACGTATTTTTATGTCATTTTTAATAAAAAATAATAATTTAAACTAATATAAGAACATTTAAATGTAAGATTTTTTTTATCATATTTTTTATAATTTTTTAATAATTAATAGTTATTTAGTAAATAATATTTAATAAATATCATATTAATTAAGCAAAATTAGTGTTTTTATCTTTTATTTTTTAAAAAAAAATTAATTTCATCTTCTAATTTAATTTAATTATTTTTATTCTTTAAATTTTAAATGCTTTAAATAAATTATTTAATGTTCTATTTTGTTATTATTATACTAATAAATAATTATAAAATTAAATTGAAGTTAAAAAATTATAAGTGTTAAAATTTTTTGTTCCTTAAAAAGCTCTACCCCTAATCAAATAAACTTTTTGACCCATAAAACTTATAATTTATGAAATTTTTTAACCTACAGCACTTTTAAGTCCTAACCTTTACAGCTCTATTGATACCCCACACACACATTGTTCCTAAGTCCTAACCTTTACAGCTCTATTTCATACCCCACACAGACATTGTTCCTTGCACCAACACAAATCAATTTCTTCACAACTTGGAAAACGTTGTCTGAACTCTGAAGACCCTCATTTGGGTTGGTCTCTCTCTCTCTCTCTCTCTCACTCCCGCACACGTTGTGTCATAACACGATGACTGAGAACGGTGGCAGCAAGAATCATCAACAATCATTTGAAATCTCCGTTGACATGATTCCACAGGGAGGTTCCAAGTGCTATGATGACGATGGACGCCTCAAACGAACTGGTAATCAATTATCCGCTAAAGTTCACTCCAAATTCATTTCATGTTTAGCAATGCTTATAGTTTTTGTTTACTTATAAAATTGTTAAAAAATAATGATTTTTTTCATACACATTTAACCAAAATATGTACTTATTTAGATATGATTTTATTATTATTAAGTTTTTGATAACCGACTTTATTTAATAAAATAATGTTTTGTTGTTACTTGCCGTTGAATATTACTCTTTAGTGACACTCCCACTTTGTGTTTGAGAAATCAGGCACTGTGGGGACTGCAAGTGCTCACATAATAACCGCTGTTATTGGTTCTGGGGTGTTGTCTTTGGCATGGGCCATAGCTCAGCTTGGTTGGGTAGCTGGCCCTTCTGTGATGGTTCTCTTCTCTTTTGTCACCTACTATGCCTCCACTCTTCTCTCTGCTTGTTACCGTTCTGGTGACCAAGTTGGTGGCAAGAGAAACTACACTTACAAGGATGCTGTTAGATCGTACCTTGGTATGTATGCTAAGCAAATGAAAATTGTATTTATTAAAATAAATAAATAAATAAATTTGGGTGCTTATTTTTTCAAAATTTCAATCTTGGGTAATTTTGTGGATATGTTTGTGCAGGTGGTGTTGAGGTCAAGTTCTCCGGGTTTCTTCAGTATGCAAATCTTTTTGGAGTTGGAATTGGGTACACTATAGCAGCTTCTATAAGCATGATGTGAGTTTTGAAATTCTTGGTAATTATTGTTGTGTGCAAGAAGTGCAAGGAAAATGTGCTGATTGGGCTGTTTTGGGTTTTTGATCGAACAGGGCAATTAAAAGGTCTAATTGTTTTCATAGTAGCGGAGGGAAAAATCCATGCCATATGCATAGCAATGTTTACATGATTTCTTTTGGTATTGCGGAAATTATTTTCTCCCAAATTCCAGACTTCCATGAGTTATGGTGGCTCTCTATTGTAGCTGCTGTTATGTCCTTCACGTACTCAACTATTGGGCTTGGCCTTGGTATTGGCAAAGTTATAGGTATGATATCTTTTAAGCATCCAAAAATAATATCTTTTTATTAGAAAATAAAATATTTTTTATATTAAAAATTAAAGATTTTTTAATAAAATTTTATTATTATTAATTATTTAAATTTAGCCGCAAGAAGTGAGGTTAACATGAATTGAAGTTATTTAAATTTTACTATTATTATTATTATTTCTTTGTTTGAGAATTAAATAACTGGGCAGAAATTTGACATGAATTGGACATGTAACAGAAAACAGAAGAGTTAAAGGAAGCCTAACTGGTATAAGTGTTGGAACTGTGACACAAACCCAAAAGGTTTGGAGAAGCTTTCAAGCTCTTGGAAACATAGCATTTGCCTACTCCTACTCAATGATCCTTATAGAAATTCAGGTACAATTAATTTTACTAAACTTTTTGTGACACTCAAATGACCCTATATTATTAATTTAAATTAAAGTCTCAACTAAAATGGTGATTATGTTATGAAACAGGATACAATTAAAGCCCCTCCATCAGAGTCAAAAACAATGAAGAAGGCTACTGTTATCAGTGTTGTAGTGACAACCCTTTTCTACATGCTTTGTGGTTGTTTTGGCTATGCTGCTTTTGGAGACGCAAGCCCTGGAAACCTTCTCACTGGTTTTGGCTTCTATAACCCATTTTGGCTCCTTGACATAGCCAACGCTGCAATTGTAATTCACCTTGTTGGTGCATACCAAGTTTGCTGCCAACCCCTTTTCTCATTTGTTGAAAAAGTAGCAGCAGAAAGATACCCAAATAGTGATTTTGTGAACAAAGACATTTTAGTGCCAATCCCTGGTTTCAAACCCTTTAGACTCAACTTCTTCAGATTGGTTTGGAGGACAATTTTTGTGATCATAACCACTATAATATCCATGCTGCTACCATTCTTCAATGACATTGTGGGGCTTATTGGAGCTATTGGATTTTGGCCTCTTACTGTGTATTTCCCTGTGGAGATGTATATAGTACAAAAGAAAATACCAAAGTGGAGCTTAAAGTGGATATGCCTACAAATGCTTAGTGTTGCTTGCCTCATAATTACAATAGCAGCTGCAGCAGGTTCTGTAGCTGGAGTTATTGTTGATCTTCAAACTTACAAGCCATTCCATAACAGCTACTAGTTGAGTTGGATTACTTAGTGATCACCATTATCAATGATTTCATTAGCAATTAGTAAAAAAAAAATTAAATTCTTGCTCATATGAAATCTATAGGAAGGTGGTCTTGTGTATTGCGTAGTCGCCTTGTATTTTCTATTTCTCTTACTTTGTAACTTGCTCTCTATTCCGAGTTTCCAATGAGAAATGGAGGAAATTAAGCAAAAGCTTTCAAAATTTCAAAGCTTTTCTGTAACTAAGTTTGTGAGACTCTGACTCAAGCACTTGTCCTTCACACTTTATACCCTGGTAAGTCTTTTTTATAGAATTGGCCATTGTTCAATTAAAATAAAAATTAAAGATAAATTGTATGATAATTTTAAATTTAATAAATATTCAAAATTTAAAAGCTGAAATTTTTTATTATTAATTATAAATATTTTATTATATGAAATAAGACGAAATTATAGAAATATATTTTGAAAAATGATAAATGAATTATAAAATTTAAATTAAGATTGAATTGGAAGATATGAAGAATGCAAAAAAAGAAAAAAAGAAAAATCACTAATGTAATGTGAAAAATTATTCTTAAAATTAATTTTATTGAAGATAATTTTTAAAATTATTATAATTCAAATATGACATATTTAACAAATGTAATATAAAAACAAAATATTTTAGTAGATTACGATATAAAATTGAAAAAATTAAATTATAAATAGACATGCATTTTATTTTTTAAAAGTGAAAAAATATTGTCGTGTTTGATTTTGATTTTCAACGAAATCAAAAGATAGAAGAGAAAATATGTTTGGTTGAATTTTAGAAAATATTTTTAAAATTAAAAAAATAATTTGAAAATAAAAAATATTTATTTTTAACCTTATTTTTTAAAATGAAAACACTTAAAAATCTAAAAAATAAAAATGTAATAGATCATTGAAAATTTTATTCAATTTTAATTATATCTATATATTCATCAATTTTTTTCATGGTTGAACTTTTGCAGTTAACTATGTGTTTCTCTTTGTTTTTTTTATTCAGGTACTATTTGTTGTAAATAATTCTCTCTTATTTTGTCTCGTATTTCTTTTTCACATTTATTTTTCTTCCTTTTTTTCTTTGTTCTTTTTCTCCCATATTTTTATTTTTATTTTTATTGAAATACAGTGATAAATTTTTTTATTTTCACAATTCTTGCAAGCTTGTATATGTATATTTTTGTATCTATTTTTTGTTTTTTTTAATTTTTATATAATTTTTATCATTGAAAATTTGATGGACATTATTATTTTTTATATCTCTTGATATGGAATTTTTCATTTTTGTATAATATGGATACCATTCTTTAAGTTGCAAAAATATATTTAGAATTTTTCATAAATACCTTTAATAAAGGAATATTACAAACTACTTTGAATATTTTTTTATCTCTTGTGCCTACTTCCTTCTTCACTCACCTTATACAATATACTAGATTCAACAAATGGTTGAGATTGAAAAACACTTGGTGTATTGAAATAATTACTTATATACGTTGTATACAGTTTGTCAAACTTTGCCTTCCCACTCCTAACTTTATTGTCGCAACGGGACAGCGATGACAAGGAGTCACCACCAAAGTTTATTAAAGAAAACATTAGGAAAAAAATTTAGTAAAAAAATCTTTGAAACTAGATTTGGATTCGGGAGTCGTTTACATGCAAGGAAGGTATTAGTACCCTACGATGTCGGTTGATTAAAATAGTTATCTTCTAATTAATTGTGCAAAAATTATTTTAACTCAAAAAATATTTCACTCTAAAAGAAAACAATTAATATTTTTTGCTATTTTCAAATTTATTTATTTTTATTACTTTTTAGATTTATTTTAAATTTTTACAATTTTTCAGAGATGTTAATTTTGTTTTTAAAATAAGGAAGCACACAAAAAAATTTATTTGAATTAAAGAAATAAATTATTTATATAAATATTATTTTTTTCATTTTTGTATTAAAAGAAATATATTGTAAAAAAAAGAACTTATCTTAACACTATATATATATATATTAAAAATAAAATAAAAATTTTATTTTTTATTTTTTATAAAGAGAATGTGCTTGAAATTACTCTTAGTTTAAAACAATTTGAAAAACATTTTTAACCTAAAAAAAATTAAAAGAAAAATGGACTTGACGGGTCAAGTTCCCGCTCTTGTATATCCTCCGTATGCAACGGAAGAATCAAAGCTGCCACATAGTTCTTTTTTCAAAAATTGTGTTTTAAATAAGTTTCAAATATTTTCTTTTTCTTTTTTTTTTGTGAAAAACTTGATTTTTCTTTATTATTATTTTTTTTAAGTAAATCAACTCTTTCACAGGATTCAAGTTAGCACACGACTACTCAATAAACCCTTACGATTCAAGCAACGTTAAAAGGTGGATCATCCACTCTATCAAAATTACTTGGCCGTTGCGTGGATTCAAAAGACTTTTTTTTTAAATAATGAAAAATTGATGTAACTTTTAATATGAGATTTTTGCACGCAAAAAAGGAACAAACGAGAGACATACAAAATAAATAAACAAATACAAAAGCAAATGAAAATGATGAGAAAATAACTCTTATTCGATTTAGGAATTAATTTTTTTAAGGTTAGGATATGCAAAGAAATTAGGGTTTTTAGAATTTATGAAAAGAAAGAATTTTTAAGATTTGAAAAAATTAAATTTTTGTAATTTGCAAAATTGTTAGGGTTGAAAAAATAGTTTGTTTTAGACCTTGCAAAAAAATTGAATGATTTTGGGTTAGAAAAACAAATATTATTTTTAGGGTTTGCAAAAAAATTTAGTTAGAAAAAAAAAGCTTGTTTTTAGGGTTTGCAAAAAGGTAATACTTAGATTTAGGAAAAAAATTTAATTTTTATGGATTTAAATTTTTTCTTTTTTTTAGGGTTTGACTGAGGGAGAAGTAATTTAGGGTTAGAAAAATTATTAGAATTTATAAAAAAATTAAAAAAATAAAATTTTATTGAAATTTCTCTTTTTATTTATTTATTTATTTATTACACTTGCAAAAAGTGTTAAATCATGAAGAAGAAGAGAAAAACATACAAAATAAATAAACAAAGAAGGAGAATTCTTAATAAATATAGGAAGATGAGAAATGAACAAAGAAGGATAATTCTTATTAGATAAAGAGAGGATGAAAAATGAACAAAGAGGAAAAATCTTTATTAAATAAAGGGAGGATGAGAAACAAAATAAAAAAATAAAATGGTCACTTTGTAAACGAAGATGAGCTTTCAAAAGACGAGCAGAACAATGAACATGAAAATATTCGCCATTACATGATAAACTATTTTGTAAATAAAGATGAGCTTTCAAAAGATATTACATACTATCGTTAGCAGAAACATTGTCTAAAGTGATAGCTTCTAATTTAGATATAGTGTGTGGAGGTTCCAACAAAAATTAAGAATTCTATTAACTAATGTCACTTTATCATCGACAAAGTATGTTGTCAAATAAATATATCCCTCAATGGTAGAATAAGCTATCCATGCATCAAAAGTTAAACACACTTTATTGAGAATTTTAGACAAATTTTGCTTAAGCTTATCTTTCTCCATAATAAAAACCTTTTTAATATTTGACAAAACAGTGTTCCTAGAATGCATCATGATACTTGGATTTAAATACTTTATACATTCTCTAATACTCTCATATCCCACAAAATTAAAGGAAAGATCATGTTAAATTATAGCTTTCACAAGCAACTCATGGTGGATGTTTTGATTAATTTGTGTAATGCTGGACTTTGGGTTGGATAACATATCATCCACATTTAGATTCAAGTTTAAAATCATTTTACAAATAAAAATGTGGCAACTTAAAAAATGTGAAATCCCATAATTTGTTTTTAACTTAAGATTTTTACCAATTGCATAATCACGTTCACAAAAATTACGCACAACCCTTTCCACACTATCCTTATCTTTACCAATTTTTGAAAAAAACTTCCACACATTTGAAGTTTCTTTCTTTCTTGACTCGGCGTTTTCAAAAAAAGTGATTAGGGTTTTAGAAATAACATCTTCAACATTCACTTGTTGATTTGAAGACTTCATAATAAAATTCTATATTTTAAAAAAGTAGTTTAATCAATATCTCATCCATTTTATATACCAAAAGACTTACATAAAAAAAAGAACACATATTTAATGATGAAATAATATGCACCTAATCATATAAAAAACACATATGTTTACGTTTTTAAGATAAAATTGAATTTATGAACTACACTACTTCAAATACAATAGAGAAAATAATGTCTAATTAGAATTGAATCCATAAAATTAATAAATAAATAAAATTAGTGAATACAACATAATTATACCTTGCATTAATTCATTAAGATGAGTACATTTCTACTTATTTGTCTCATTTTTCTTTTTTGTTTTGAATGATAAGGTTGATTAGCCCTGTAATCTACCACCAATTCTGTGGCTACCATTGCTAGCAGCTTCTATAGCTAGCAAAATATGGCTAGCCAAGCATTTTGCAATCACTATTACCCATATTTAGAAAATAAACTCTGATGGTATTTTAGTCCCTTGATTGAAAAAAGCCAAAAGTTAAACTATTGAATTTCTTCTAAGTCCTTAATCCTTGCTTAATTATTGAATTTATAGGTCCTTAATTCCTAAATAAGTTATAGTAAGGCTAAAAGTTTAGACTCCTTACTCTTAACTTATATTTTGGTTTTTTTACTCAATATTCATCATTTATGATTTTCAGGGATCATTGGATGCACTAAATAAATTAGGGAAGATAACAATAGAGAAAAGAATTTATATTCTTAATATAATTCTTAAAAATCCTTGATAGATAGTGATACTTGTTGCATCACACCATATCATGAATCAAATTTATTAACTTATATGGTTACTATTGAACATAAAGACATTATTTTATATATATATTAAATAATGTCAAAAGTTGCAAGTAAACAACAAGATTCACAATCGACATGGTAGATAAAAACTGAATGATTTTATAACATATCATCCACATTTAGATTCAAGTTTAAAATCCTTTTACAAATTAGAAATGTGGCAACTTAAAAAATGTGAAGTCCTATAATTTGTTTTTAACATAAGATTTTTACCAATTGTATAATCACGTTCACAAAAATTACACGCAGCTCTTTCCACACTATCCTTATTTTTACCAATTTTTGAAAAAAACTTTCACACATTTGAAGTCTCTTTCTTTGTTGACTTGGTGTTTTAAAAAAAGTGATTGGAGTTTTAGAAACAACTTCATCTTCAACATTTACATGTTGATTTGCAGACTCTATAATAAAATTCTATATTTTAAAAAAGTAGTTTAATCAATATCTCATCTATTTTATATACCAAAAGACTTATGTAAAAAAAAAACACATATTTAATGATGAAATAATATGCACCTAATCATACAAAAAATACTCATGCTTAAGTTTTTAAGATAAAATTGAATTTATGAACTATACCGTTTCAAATACAATAGAGAAAATAATGTCTAATTAGAATTGAATCCATAAAATTAATAAATAAATAAAAATTAGAGAATAGAATATAATTATGCCTTGCATTGATTTATTAAGATGAACACATTTCTATTTATTTGTCTCATTTTTCTTCTTTGTTTTGAATGATAAGGCTGGTCAACCCTTTAATCTACCACCAATCATGTGGCTACCATTGTTGGCAGTTGTTATGGCTAGCCAAGCATTTTGACAATCACTGTTACCCATATTTAAAAAATAAACTCTAATGGTATTTTAATCCCTTGATCGAAAAAAGGCAAAAGTTAAACTATTGAATTTATTCTAAGTCCTTAATCCTTGCTTAATTCCTAAATAAGTTATAGTAAGACTAAAAGTTTAGACTCCTTACTCCTAATTTATATTCTTATTTTTTACTCAATATTTGTCATTTATGGCTTTCAAGGATCATTGGATGCACTAAACAAATTAGGGAAGATAACAATAAAGAAAAGAATTTATTTCTTAATATAATTCTTAAAAATCCTAGATAGATAGTGATGCTTGGTGGGTCACACCATATCACGAATCAAATTTATTAACTTATATGATTATTATTGAACATGAAGACACTATTTAATATATATATATATATATATATATATATATATATATAGTCAACCAATTAAATGTTGTAATTGAACAACAAGATTCACAAACAACATGGTGGATAAAAACTAAAAAATAGTGGTTCATGAGTGACTGTGTCAAAATAAAATTGCTATCAATCATGGAGCAAAATAGGTACATAAAATATAATAAAAAATAATTATAGAATAACTGAGGAAGGAAAGTATAGAGGCTAAATGATTAATAATTGTTCTAATAGAAGGGAATGCAAAGTTGTGAATGCTCAAATCGAAGACCAAAATCATATAAGTTTAGCCCATTTTTCATTGAAGAAGCATTGATATGAAATGAAAAGAAAGAAAATCAAAAGAAATATGGAAAGATAAATTAGCTAAAGAAACATGGAAAAATAGAGTGAGAATCAACAAAAATTTTAACTATAAACTATTAGAGAGAATCATAGAGTCATAGGAAAGTTTTTACAAAGGAAAGAAGAGAGATAGTGTTATGAACCAACATGGTGTGTGGGTCAGCCCTAACCCTTATTATTTTGGCCCACTTTTATTTAGAAATTATATAGGTCAAGGCTAAAAAAACCCTATTATAAAATAAGTTTTTAAAAAATATGATTAAAAAATATAATTTTAAAGGTTAGCCTATGAGTTTTAATCATATTTGCCATCTCTATTTTATGCAAAATTAAAATGTAAAACTTGTACATGTTAAGTAAGATTTCTATTACATACGTTAGTATGTGTTTAACACCATTATTAAAAAGAAAAAAGAAAATTCAAATCAAAGGAAAAAAAAATATAGTACTAATTTTTTGTATGGATTAAAAGTTATTTTTTTTCCTATATAAGAATTTATTACAAATAAAATATCAAATATATGAATTAATAGAATAATAGACAAAAGTATTTCACTCTTTTAAAAAACTATTAAAATAAAAAATGATTTTTTTCATATATCAAAACTTACTACAAATGAAAATATATAATCAAAATTAAAAGAATAATAAAAATAAAAAAAAACGTATTTCACTATTTTAAAAATATTAATAGAATAGTTTGACAATATTTTAGATAACCAATTGCCATCTACTTTTTTATGAAAAAAATAAATTATTTATTATTTTAAAGTAATTGTTTACTATAATATAACTTTTAAAATTAAAGACAATGAATGTAATAAAAACTTTTAAAATTGAAGACGTGAATGTAATAAAAAGAAAAAAAAACAAAACATGTCTAGTTAAAACAACTCTAATTTTTTACATTTTATATTTTATTTTCTTATTACACTTAACTCTATTTTTTTAAATTATCATTTTTATTTTTATTTTTATTTTTTCCTTGTTTGTAAAATATATACGTCCTCTTAAAGATATAAAAATCACAAAAATATTATTTCTACTAATATATTAACTAAAAATTATTAAAAATTACAAAAATTATGTCAATTTAGCTTTTTCTCACTACTAATTTATGCCCCAAGAAGAAGGATACATCCATTGGGAAGCTTTTAAGGCGTGCTTTCTAGGAAATTACTTTTCTGGGGACTTGAAGAAACAAAAAGCACGAGAATTCCTTGAGTTGAAGTAAGGAAATATGTTTGTGGGAGAATATGCTGCGAAATTTCACGAGCTCATGAAATACTGGCCCTATTTCCAGCACGAGGATGGAGATGAAGATCTGTGCACCCAATTTGAGAATGGGCTGAGGCCAGAGATTTGGGGAGCAATTAGTGTTTTCCAACTAACTGACCTGCCAACATTGGATAGCAAATGTCGAATCTTTGAGGCAAACTCCAAAGGCAAAACTGTGGATAACCGGATTGGAGGACCTGTGAGACAAGATCTCTGACCTTAAAGGTTCCCTAGAGGACCTTACTCTGGTATTACTCAGTCTCAATCTAGGGGGACTGAATCGCAGGAGGTAGTAGTAGTGGTTCCACTCTTTCAAGGGGACCAGTAAGATGTTTTCGCTGTGGAGGACCTCATATTGTGAGGAATTTCCCACAACCACCGTCGACATGTGGTATTTGCAAAAAGATGAGTCATTCTGCAAATACTTGTTGGTATGCTCCTCAGAAAAGTGGAAGTATAAGTAGAAGCAATAGGCCTGCATCCCGAGGAAGCATTGGGGCAAAACTAAATGTGCAAGGCAAAGTGTTTGCCATGAATGGATCAGAGACGTCCAAGTCAGATGATCTTATAAGAGGTAAATGCATCATCAATGATAGACTATGTGATGTCTTGTTTGATTCTAGTGTCACACATTCCTTTGTTTCTATGGATTGTGTGAATGGTATTGGACTACCAATATCTTCCGTACCATATAATGTTGTTGTGTCCACTCTTACAGCTAAGCTTGTTGTGACTTCTTCTGTGTGCTTAGGTTGTTTTGTGATGATTCATGGTAGAAATTTTTGTGTGGACTTAATCTATTTACCGCTTTCTCAACTTGACGTTGTTTTGGGCATGGATTGGTTGTCATCTAATCGTGTTTTGTTAGATTGTAAGGAGAAAGTTTTAATCTTTGATGATGATACATTGAGAAAATCAAGACTCCAAAATGTGGGTGAAGCTAAGACTTTTATGGTATTATTTTTTGCTGAGGTTGATAAGACCGTAAAAGCTGAACATATTCCAGTAGTACAAGATTTTCTAGAAGTTTTTCCAGAGGATGTAACAGAATTGCCACCGGAAAAGGAGATTGAATTCACTATCGATTTGATTTCAAGAGCAATTCTAGTATCTATCGCGCCATATCAAATATCACCGGTGAAGTTGGCTGAGGTGAAAAAACAAGTAGAAGATTTGTTAAAAAGGCAATTTGTAAGGCCAAGCGTATCTCCATGGGGAACTCTAGTGCTTTTGGTGAAAAAGAAGGATATGTGTGGATTATCGTCATCTTAATAAGGTGACGATTAAGAATAAATACCCAATTCCTCGGATTGATGATTTGATGGATCAGCTACAAGGAGCATCAGTATTTTCAAAGATCGATTTATCATCAGATCCGAGTGAAAAAGGAAGATATCCCCAAGACAACTTTTAGAACTCGCTATAGTCATTACAAATATCTGATAATGCCATTTGGTATGACAAATGCCTTAGCAGTATTTATGGATTATATGAATCAAATTTTTCATGAATTCTTGGATCAATTTGTAGTAATGTTTATTGATGACATTCTACTTTATTCCAAGAATCATGAGGAGCATGCTGAACATTTAAGAATTGTCCTGCAAATATTGAGTGAAAGATAGCTTTATGCAAAGTTCTCAAAGTGTGAATTCTGGCTTCCACAAATCCAGTTCTTGGGACATGTTGTCTCAAAGGAAGGAATTACAATCGACCTAGCAAAAGTAGAGGCAGTGGCTTAGTGGTCGAGACCTACAACTATGACGAAAACTAGAAGTTTTTTGGGATTGGCTGACTATTATAGAAAATTCATTGAGAGATTTTCTAAAATAACGCTACCTTTAACGAAACTGACAAGGAAAGGAAAAGACTTCGAGTGGAATGAAGAATGCGAAGTCAACTTTCAGAGCTTAAAGGATAGGTTAACCTCAGCTACAGTGTTGATTTTGCCAGACTCAAAGAAAAAGATTAAAGTGTATTGTGATGCTTCAGGACAACGACTTGGGTATGTCCCAATGCAATCTGGGAGAGTAGTTATGTATGCTTCAAGACAACTTCTACCTCATGAAGTTAATTACCCCACACATGACTTGGAGCTAGCAACCGTAGTATTTGCACTGAAAATATGGAGGCATTATCTATTCATATTGAGATTCGAAGTATTTAGCAATCACAAAAGCTTGAAATATCTATTCGACTAGAAAGATCTGAATATGAGACAGAGACAGTAGATGGAGTTTCTCAAAGATTATGACTTCATCTTATCTTACCATCCCGAGATGGCGAATGTTATAGCAGACGCATTGAGCAAAAAATCCCTACACATTTCTGCCATGATAATAAAGGAGTGGGAATTAATTGAAGAATTTAGAGACTTAAATTTGATGGTAGAAATGCGACCCAAAAGTTTGTATTTGGGTACTTTGAAGATCAATAACGATTTCCCGATGCAAATCCAGAATGCTCAGTTAGAAGACCAATATTTGCAAGACAGAGTGCAATCAAAGGATGAGACTACAAGCTTGAAATATGATCGCGACTTCAGTGGACTTATTAGATTTAAGGGTAAACTGAATTTTTATCCTGGAGCAATAAAGATGTATCATGATTTGCAAATAAATTTTTGGTGGTATGACATGAAGAAAGAGATAGCTGAGTACGTTGCAAAATGTTTAACATGCCGAAAATCGAAAGCAGAACATCAGCGAATACCAGGAGAATTACAACCACTGGAGATTCTAGAATGAAAATGGGACAGTATCTCTATGGACTTCATATCTGGATTGCCAAAAACAAAAATGACTTACGATGCTATATGGGTGATTATAGACCATCTGACCAAGATTGAGCGTTTCATTTCAATCAATATGAAGTATAAATTGGAGAAATTGGCGGAGCTGTGCATTAATGAGATAGTAAAATTGCATGGAATATCCTTGAGCATTGTATCTGATCGAGATTCAAGATTTACATCAAAGTTTTGGAAAGGTCTGCAAGTGGCTTTGGGGACTAAGTTAAAGCTTAGTTCATCATATCATCCTCAAACTAACAGGCAGATAGAGCGCACTATCCAAATACTAGAGGATTTGCTACGAGCCTGTGTGATAGAGCAACAAGGAGCGTGGGATGAATGTCTACCTTTGGTAGAATTCACATATAACATTAGTTATTAGGCAAGCATTGACATGGTACTGTATGAAGCATTATATGAAAGAAGGTGTCAAACTCCTATATGCTGGTACAAAGAGGGAGAGACAATTTTGTATGTGCCTGATGTGGTACAGAGGTAGAACGATCAAGCAAAAATGATTAGAGAAAGGATAGAGGTTGCCCAAGATAGACAGAAGAGTTATCATGATCAACAAAGGAAACCATTAGAATTTCAAGTCGGCGATCATGTATTCTTGAGAGTTTCACCCATCACTGGAGTTGGTAGGGCATTGAAGTCTTGAAAGTTATCTCCTAAATTCATTGGACCATTCAAAGTTCTGAGTAGAGTTGGTCCTGTGGCTTATCATGTTGCCTTACTCCCAAATCTGTCTAATCTCCATCGTGTATTCCATGTGTCTCAATTGAGAACTTATATCTCGAACCCTTCTCATGTGATTGAACTTGATCCTGTCCAAGTTCAAGAGAATTTGTCATATGAGGTTATCCATGTAAAGATCACAGATCATCGGGTCAAGCAGCTAAGGGGTAAAGATATTTTATTAGTAAAGGTGAGATGGAATGCAAATGATGAAGGAGATGCTACTTGGGAGCTTGAAGACATAATGAAGGAAGTATATCCTCATCTATTCCTGAATCAGTGAATTTCGGGGGCAAAATTTCTAAAAGGGTGAGAGTAGTGTAACACCCTCTTCTCATTTTTCTATAATTATGTGTTATGTAATATTAAGTAGTATTAGAATGCAATTAGATGTAAGTTTGGAGGATTTTTAGAAGAGTTTTGATGTAGGAGATCTCGCTTAGGCGAGGTAAATCTCGCCCAGGCGAGATTGAGCATGCAGAAATATCTTATTGCAAGGCTATCTCGCTTAGGCGAGATGATTCTCGCTCAAGCGAGATAAGATAAATGTTGTCCAACTGTCACCTTGCCCAAGCGAGAGTGATCTCGCTCACGAAAGTTGAGAATCTCGCTCAGGCGAGATGAGTCACTCAAGCGAGGATCCACAGAAGAAATAACATGCTTTTTAAACACCATCTCGCTTAGGCAAGATGGATCTCGCGAGCATATAAAAAAATAGTGGGCTAGACCACTGTCTGCATATTTTGCTCAAGCGAGATGCTCGTCGTTTAAGCGAAATGTCGTCGCTGAAGCGAGAATGCGTGGGGCTGAGGGGTATTTAAGAGATTTTTCGCATGAGAAATTCATTCTATTACAAACTCATACACCTCTCTCAAGTTTTCTCTGAATTCTCTCTTCCTTTTACTTAGATAAAAGCCTCAAAAACTCTGATTTCTCTTCATAATCACTCTTGGACATTAAAGCTAAGTGACTCTAAGTAAGTTTCTTCAGATTAACTTGAGTTTTTTCGATTATCTTCTTGGTTTTGTTCCTTATGTATATCTCGTGATATTTAGGAAAACTTTCATCCGTGAATCTTGAGCCTTTTTGGTATATCTTTGTGAGCTCATCTTCGAGGTAAGGAGAACTTTATTTTATCGTTATAGTGTAATATTTATTTATGCTCATAGATCACTGTTATGTGAATATGCTATAAGAATAGATGATTGCGATATATGCTGTGTTGAGTATGCTTGAAAAGATGTTTGTTTGATGAGTTGGACTGTTTGGTTGTTAGACTAAGTGGTTGGTATATGTTCATATGTATTATGTGATGATTAGTCAGTGTGAAATATTACTAAACTAGTTAAGTGATTTGTATGATTTTATGAAATATATCTAAGTAAAATGATATGAGGAAATTATGTGAATATGAAGGTTTATGATTAAAATTGTATCAATGAATGTATATGTTGAATGGATTGGAATGGAATTAGTATGAAAGTGCTTTACTAAGCATGATCTTATGAGTGGAAATAAAGGATAATTCTGAGAATGACTCTAAAAGTAGACTATGGATTTGATCTAATGTTAATAGTTACAAAAATACACTGAAGGTATAGAGTCTGAAGACGATGAGAATCTGGGAGAAACATAGGTGGTGAATGACATTCGCGTATGTGTACACACTTTTTCTGAGAGCAAATGCGTTACATGGCCCCACACTCGTTTCCTAACTAGACTCCTGACTATACCTTTCCTAAGGGGCCCGATTATTATAATGTTGTATTCATATGTATGGGCTAACCAGTGACTATTTACCTAGCTGAATAAGACCTCAGAAGTGTTGAAGGCATCGATATTTGTGATCACAGTGCACTGAGAGTGTGTATTGGAATGAGAGAACGGATAACAGACATTGAATTATGATTTTATGATATAATGTTTGATAAAGGATAGAATAGATGCTCATCCTTACTAATAATTTCAAGGAATCAAGATGACAGAGCCTTAAGGAAGAGTTAGACTAGTAGATAGTTTTATACAGTTTAGGTTAAATTATGTATTTAATGAATATCAAAGAGTAAATTATTTTAAATTTGCTATACTTGTAAAAGATGAACCTAGGGTTTTTGTTATAATAGAGATGGATTACTCTTGTAGTATCCCATTTGACTTTCCGAGGAGTAGAATACACCAGACCCTATGTGTATATACGTATAGAGGTACTGTTAGAAGTCCAGCAGCCCTCACGTACCTATTCACCAACCACGATCACAATTATCTCGAAAGACCTACCTAATGGACCTTCGAGCACGTAACTAGGATAGAAGTCAGAGCTAATTCAGGTGATAGTTATCTAGGTTCAGATGATGACTTAGACTCAGAGGACCTGGCTAAGATAGAGAGTTGGCATTGGGTTGATGAGTAAGACTGATATTCAGTGTTGAGTTATGATATAAGACTACACTGGGACTTATATTAGTTTATGTGATGTAATATTATTTTAAGATTAATATATTTTGGATAAGTGATTTGTAAATTATTATACTAGATTTATGGAATGTATGTATAGTCTTTTAATTTATAAATTTTGATTATGTTTATTCAGCATTTGAAATTTTTGGCCATACCATTTATACTAATCTAATGGAAATATTTGTTAAAAAAAATTTATTATATTGTAAAGAAATAAAATTTGAATAATTAGTCACTGTGAAGCCATTATACACAAATTTTGTATTTTACAATTAATATAAAGTAT